AGAGGAAGATGATTGTCCTTGAGGTGGGAGTGGTGGACGTCGATCATCCCGCCTCCTAACGTCCTGACGGTCATCTTCCCTCTTCCTCTTGGGATGAGCATGGGTAGAGGCTTCCTCTATTTGTACGTATTTCTCGGCTCGGTTCAGCAATTCCTCTAGGTTGTCTGGTGGCCTTCTTGCAATAGATTCTTTGAACCTACCCGGCTTCAAGTGGGGTTGCATGATCCCGGAGAGCATGTCTTGTCCTACGCTTGGGACTTCGTGGACGGCTTCTACACAACGCTTGATGTAGTTGCGGAGCGCTTCGTTATCTCTCTGTACTACAGAGAAAATGTGGGCTGAGGTCTTGGCATACTGTTTGTTGATGGCGAATTGATTGGTGAAACGTGTTGACAATCGAGCGAAGGTGTCGATCGATCCTGTGGGTAGAGAGTTGAACCAATTCATAGCTCTCTTGGAGAGAGTGGTGCGGAACATTTTGCACATTGCAGCGTCCGTTGAGCCATACAAATCTGCCATGGCGTTAAATTTCTCTATGTGCTCTTGTGGGCCGGTGGTCCCTTCAAACTGAGGTAACCCCGAGATCTTCAATCCTTGAGGTAATACCTCGTTGAGGATGTCCATGGTGAAAGGACTGCGTCTTACTGGGGCGGGCATTCTTGCTGTCTGGGCTGTGCCCCCTTGTGAATTGGTGGATAGCTGAACTCGGGACCGTGGGTTCGAGGTGGATGAGGAGACCCATATTTGGTTTTGGATCGGCGGTGGTGCCATGGTTGCACCACAGGTGGAGTTGGTGTTGGTATCGCATTGGGAGCATTTGCTCCCATCGTGGCGATATATTGGGTCACGGTCTCTGTGGCGGCACGAGTTGAGGCTTCTGCTATCATGCATTGGAGCGCATCATCGGTTATTTGAACCGTTCGAGGAGCAGAAGTGGCGGATCGGCAAGTGGTGGGTCCCGAGGGGGGATCACCTGAACCTTGCGAGGCGGATCCGAAGCACGTGGAGGAGGTGGCAAGCCAGAGCCTCCACGAATTGGGAGGTTGTTAGCTATGTCATTCTCTCTCCGAGCGGATGCCTCAGGAGGATCTTGCTGGCTACGTAATCTGGTTTGCATCGTTCCCACAGACGGCGCCAAAATGATGATGCTAATTACTTAGATCACTTGGGGTAGTGTAAAAAACGAATAGGGAGAGCAAAGCGGATCAGTAGCTTGACAACTTGATGATCCTGAGGTCCCTCCGAAATAAACACACGTGAACTAAGCCGGGGGTTGATCCGGTGGAAACCCCTCCGACACTCAAGTCAGATGTACGGATCCTGGAGATGGTAGAGAGAATAAAATTCTAGCTTGCTTGTGAATAATAGAACGTACCTTAACAAATGAGTAAAAACATCTATTTATATGTCGTCGATTGGGTTGGATTTACTTAATTGGGCCCAAACCTTATTTTGAAGGTGGCTGGGCTTTCGTGTAGTGGGTCCAATTATTAGACAAATTAGGGGGCCCATTGGGTCGGCCCAATTAGGTATATCAATATCATTTAACACGTTTGATTGGTTTTCCTTAATCATTCCCCAAAAATATTTTTCCACACTGATGTAATAACATGATTGAATTTAAAAAAAAAATCCCCATAAAAATATTCGGTGTCATCTTTTTTCTGCTTCCTCAATATAGAATCAAAACAATATTCATTTTATTTTTTAATCTATTCCAATGCATTTTGATCTTTTAAATGTCTGCACTTTAAAGAATCTACTTTCCCGTTTTCGTATATATTTAATCAAACTGAAGCAAATCAAGATGTTTGTAATAACACGGGACAATGTCGAACTACAATAAAGAATAATATCGCCCAATCTTTTTTATTTATAAGAACTCATTTTTGAATTATTCACTTAAATTAATTTTATAAAATTGTTCTTTTCATTAATATATAATAACTATATAACAAAATGGAAAAAAAATATTATTAATTTAATTTTTCATAGATTTTATTTTAATAATATACAACTAAATTCTAAAAATTATCATTCTTTAATTTATTAATTCTTATTAACTTTTTTATTTTGTTTAAATACTCTACATCAAATGAAGAGCAAATTAAATCCCACTTTGCAAGATAAGATAATAAAATTTCTCGAGATAAGTTGATCATTATTGCTATCTTCAATGTTTACTGTCTATATCCTGGCGATATGCGGTTATAACTGACTATTTTCCTAGTACTGTTCAAAGTACTGGTCATATCTACCTTTTTTTATTTCCGCTAACAATGATTCTTTGACGGGGCTCTTTGACATAACCCCCCCATTACTTTTTTTAATAGAGTTAGGCCCAAAATATTTTAGACCATTTGAGAAAAGCCCATGTCCCAATTTTAGCCACCTATTATCCAATTTTGCCCCTGGAACCTCATTACCCTATCTCCCGCTCCTGCAAAAACGTGAAAAAATCAAAAATCAGAAAACTGCAAAAACAAACCCTCCCTTGTCTTCCTCCCCCAGAAACTGCCCCACCGTACGCTACCTACCTCCGCCGTAATCGTCTTCTCCCACCGCCATTTCAAGGAAAATGACGTCTCTGCAACCGATTAGAGTTCCGGCTTCGATATAACCAGGAACAACGCCGCCGCTGTCGACTACCCAGGGTTCTGCAACCATAGTACTGCGAAGAACCCCCGTCTCCTCTCCCCCAGGAACCGCCCTGCCCACGCTTTCTCCCTCCGTCGTAGTCGCTTTCTCCGATCACCATTTCCTTGAAACGACGTCTCTGGAGTCGATTAGGGTTCCGGCTCCCGCATCTGCATCAACGCGAAACAAAAAATTGAAACAAAAAAAGAGAATGACGACTAAAGCAAAAACAAGCCGTAAGTGATTATCAGGCTTCTACATTTTATTCACCTATTTAACCTAAATTTGCTGTCAATGACGCCATTTTTTCTCTTTTTATACAGGTGAAAGTAAGAAGAAAGCTAAAAGAGATATACGGGAACTTGATGCTGGTAAGAAACCCCCTTAAAAATTTGAAAATGTTGATAGTCGATTAGTGTGTGATTTGCCTTGCTGTATGCTGATAATAATGAGGTTATATAATAGTCGATTGGTGTGTGCTGTGTATAGTTGATTTACTAGCCGTCTAGTCATAAGCTACGATTGAAGTATGTGTGCTGATAAAACTATGATTATATCATAGTCGATTAGTGTGTTATTTGTATAGTCGATTAACTAGCCTGCTAGAAGACATATTGATGTATATGTGCTGAGCAGACTACACCTATATCATAGTAGATTAGTGTAATTTGATAGATGACTTAAATTTTATATTGACAACTCTTCTGTTATCTGATATTCTAACAACACCATTTTTTGTTTGCAGATGAAGCAAATTTATTGGTAGACCGTTTACTCAAGGAGGGCTCTTGGACGAGACAGTACCGTTCAAGTCTGCAATCAACGGTAGACTTCTTCAAAGGTATCGATCTCCGAAAGGAGCATCTCGATTGCCTTAAGCGCACCCCTTTCTACCGCCTCATCTTGCCATTTGCCCTCAAGAAGGTACCGTTACACCAAGTCACAGGCACGCAGAAGGGGGTTGCAAAACTACTGCTGTTGTACGACAAGGCAAAAAAAGCATTCGTAATTGGGGGTAAAAAGTTGATTATTACGCCAAATGAATGCGATTTAATATTCGGAATCAAATCCGGCGCAACAAACATCATTACCAAACGAGCCGCAAAACCAGATTTTGGGCTTGCTGTGCGTAAATTCCATGATCACGACAGGCTAAAATTGTACAACGTGAAGATTGAACTCCTCAAGTATCTTCGGAGCACCGAACAGGAAGACATTGAAGATGTTGTACGCATGGTCATCCTGCACGTCCTCGCAACATGCTTCTTTGCGACAGCTGGCGAGCTCGTTAATTGGTGGATCTTCCATTTATGCGAAGACATCGATGCAATGGCGGCTTACAATTGGGGGGAGTGCATAGTTGATTTCCTTATTGACTATGTCCAAACTAAAGAAAAAGTAACGCAAGTTAAGGGATGCACCACACTGTTACAGGTACGAAAAATTACACGCTTGCATTTAGCCGACTATGTAAATTGTTTATAAAATAGCTGATTAAGATATTTACTAATATAATCTTTCTTTTTGTAGTTCTGGATCTGTGAGAGGATTAAACTGATTGAGCCTTTACAACCAAATGCATTCCCAAGGTTCCGAAAATGGCATCTCCCAACCCTCGGCAATAAACTTGAGAACTTAGCTATCAGGGACATACTTGACGCCGATATTGACGACCATGAGCTCGTCATAAGGGAAAGAGAGTCACAAATCTATACAATGCAGGATCAAGAGCACGTCGATTATGATTTGGAAGAAGACACAGAAGACAATGCGGGCAATGCTGACAGTCGTATTGGCAAACGCAAGAGGGATGCAGAATCGGATCAAATGTTAGA